AGGCGAGTGCAGCGAGAATACCAGATTACGATTCAACATCAGAATCAATGATGAAAAAAGAAAAAATCTACGTGTGATATTGATTTGATTTTAAAAATAATAATTATTATTATTGTTCACTTTTTATTTTGCTATTTTGCAAATTTATTCATATAATACTTATCATACATTTGTTATTTGCAGCTCACAGATGAACAACCTTATCTCAAACTACAATCCATTTATGTTCAACTTCTCTCTTGCTATCGTGACAAAGTGACAAAGTAGACTAACTAAGCTTCTTCAAGCTAGCTTATATTCTAAGTAAGCTTTGGATTAGCTAATAAAGACAAAACATTTTCTCTCTATCATTCTGTCAACCTCACTCATTCCTTCACTCATTCATTCATTCATTCACTCATTCCTTCACTCATTCATTCATTCATTCATTCATTCATTCATTCATTCATTCATTCATTCATTTATTCATATATACATTCACCGTATTAAAGAAAAAAAACAACGACAGATGCTTTCATATACACTGTGCATGCATACTAATACTAATAAAAACAAGCCAAGTCAATCTAATCTAAGTTAAGCCATTTTCCTACTTATTGAACGCTCTAAAAATACACTCTTTAAACTTTAACCTTTTTCAAAAATTAATGTGTAAATTTAATGCATAAAACTAACAATAACAGTCATTGCTTAAATATTCAATTCCATTCACGCACACATCCATCACTTTTCGACGCTCACTGAATATCATTAATGCTGTACATCATTTGAGATCTGTTTTTATTCGGTTTGCAAAAAGCAAAGAGATTTGAATAAATCTAACACACAATGAATAGTTAGTTCCAACTAGCTAGCAAAATTCGCTTAGATAGATCGATCGAGATAGATGGATAGATGGATAGATAGATAGATAGATAGATAGATAGATAGATAGATAGATAGATAGATTATAAGCGAAAATGAGAAAAGAATTCTAACGAGTGTTATTCGCGCGCAAGTCGACAAGTAGTCAATTGCAAGCAAACAAAAACCTTAATGTCATTAGTTATCATTTATTTTCAGCTTAAAAGCAAGTAAATAGAAAAGTCATTCATTCTTGAATACATTCTTTCCTTCCACTCTAAGTAAGCTGAAAATTTGTCACATCTATTAATCAATATAAGACGTTATTCAAGATGAACTTTGAACTCATTGAGTATTTTCAAAATTTTCTACAAATTTTGAATTTAACGCTGAATTACAGATAAATTCTAACTTATCACAATAAATTTATGCTTGAAAATAAATTTATTACTAAATTAGTTAAATTCTGGACACAAATAATCTACTTTTTTCACTTTCCAAAATTTGTTGTTTGTAGTCTTAAAAATTCTTCCTATCGCTGTAATTGAATTCGCATAATCAAATACTGTATAGCAGAAATGACTGTAAAGAAATACAGTAATGAAGTGACGCTGCGGCTATTATATAAAATGCATAATTTCAAATATTAATATTATACGATAAAATTGTTATGTAAGTGTAGAAAAATATCGTCTCAATGCTAAAACTTAATTGCATTAATTATTTAAATATAATTACAATAATTAACAGCACTATTAATAACTTCTTAGTTTGACTGTGAATAAATTAGAGCGTTAAAATACTTTATCGATTCTATTCCTTTCTTTTATGATTAATGAATGAAAATTATGAATCAAATAAATATCTAAAAATAAATAAATTATTCATTTTTATTTATTTTATGAATAAGAAATCATTTTTGATCACAATTAATTATGAAAAAATAGAATATCAATTGATAAGATTAACTTTTGTTTGCATAATATTTGCTGACTTTAGACTGCAATGTAAAAATGAATAGTTTAATAACTGATATGATCATCGATATCATTAACCTGCTTATTATTACTACGTGTTATATTTATTTTTATTGCAGACGTGTATCTTCAGTAATTTTCTTCACACACACATAAGTTTTTAGCTTTCATTAATATCCAAATCACACTGGGATTTAACTCACTGAAGTACCATAAAAATAGTACTGAGAAGTAAATTTACCTAAAAGAAAATAGCTTTCAGACGATTTATCAATTTTATGAAAAAAAGATAATTACTTAGATCTAACTTGTTCTGCACGCCCTGTAAACAAATGCCAATTTCTCGCTTCACTACTGTTAGATAACTCATCTGTATTTCAATACAAAAATATACCATAAGCTGGGAAATATGTCTAGCTGCTAATAAATAAGTATAATAATAATTAATTTAGATCACAGTGAAAACATAATTAATTAGTTTTATGTAAAAAATACAAAATAAATAACTAATTAAAGTTATAGTTTTTGCAAGTATTTTATGTAAAAAAATACAAAATTATGTTTACAAAATTTAGATAATTTAATAAATTACTCTTTTAACGTATATATGCCAACAAAATTTCATTTTCCATTACAATTTTTGTAATGCAAACTGTACATTTTTGGTTCATAAAATTGTACATACTACAAACGGTTGATTATTAATTGCTTTATTTCAATATATTCAATGGAAAAAATGCGAGCAAACGTATTTAAATTCAGATGACATTGGGTATGTACACAAAAAATTCATTTCTACCAAATTACTCTCTGCATAAATTGCTTTATTTAACAATAATATTTTTAAAAAAAAGACATAAAATTGACATTAAAGCTCTTCAAATTTAATTTTCTCAACTCACTGTCACAGATAGATCATTTCCTTTCAAGTCAATTTAATTTTTTCAACTCACTGTCACAGATAGATCATTTCCTTTCAAGTCAAGAATGACGAAGAGTATTATTTGTCATAAAATGTATGCAAAGAACAACAAAGGTCAATGGATAATTTTAAGCCAAAACATAACAGTGTAAGGGAAAATATGCAAATAAATAGTACACTTAGAGAGTTTAGCCTCGCTGTGTGTTTGACAGGCAATTGCAAATATGTCAGTTACATGAAAACTTCTTTGCATAAAAAATCTAATTGCTATTCAAATAGCAAATAATAATTTCACTTCTAATATTACTGTTAAATATAATACTTTTCAGATGCAGACGTCATTTTACAAATGTTTCGTCTGATAACTCGGTTACTTTTACATTTTTGCTTAATTAAAACTAATTAGCAATTAGTAGCCTTTTTTTAAGATAAAGAATACTTTGAATGACACAATCAAATTTAACAGTATTTATCAAATGGTAATTATAATTTACAGATTTAAAGCAAACAGCTTAATGTAAGACTACTATTAATTATTCGTAAAGTAATTAAAATGATAACTAAGAGTGACTTCCACCTCAATTATTGTTACAGTTTCTCCTATAATAACTTTGTATATTTTATGCATTTATTGTTGATTACTGTAAATCATTTATAAATTATTGAAAAAAAAAGGAGATATAATATAAAAGACAACGTTCTTCTTTCTTTCTTTTCCATTCTAATTATGCTACAAATAACATGCAAATGAAAAAATATAATTATAAAGTGACTATGAAAATATAAAAGACAGTAAAATTGTAAACTTATGATATAAATGAATGTATGATAATATGCAAAAAAAGAGATAAATCTAAGTGTGAATGAGATAGATGATACTGTAGAATGTATCAAAAACCATGAAGGCAAAAAATAGCTAATGGGAAAATGAAGTTGACCGTTGGATGGATGGATAGATAGATGGATGGATGGATGGATGGATGG